ACACATGATCATGTCAAAGAAAGCTGATTTCAGCACTTCTGATGAAGGACTTTACGCCATTAGTCTCTGCTGTAGGCAAACAACTATTCTGCTCTAACCAAAATAACATATTCAAACTTTCGTAGATACGGCAACTTCTCTGATCGCGTCATTCTTTAGGCTACTTTCAAATTTGTGAAGCTGAGTGGCATTCTTTCTTCTAATAATGCCCATTGCTGGTATAAGGGATAACAAACATCTGTGTTTCTTTGTTGGTTTTTCTCACATAAAAAACACCTAAAAAAAAGTATTTCACTTCATCTTTGAAACTAAACAATAGTAGAAAAGCTCTTCCCAGGTGAATTGGTCAGATTTCAGGCTCCCTGTTTTTGGGATGAATTTCTGAATGCCTGAAGCGCTTCTGGCTGAAGTTGCACACCAATTTGAAGAGATGAAAATGGCTTGGTTTGTGTTGAATTTGACACAAATTTGTATTTTCAAAGAATGTATTTAAAACACATTGACAGATTACTTGACAGCCCCAAGTCAGACTACAGAAGTGGGACTGCAGATAAGGACAACACCACAGAAAAAGTAACTTAAAGGCTACAACACAATCCTACATTTCCAAAGTACCTAAAACAGTAAATGTCCAGAAAACAAAATCATATAACCAACACAATGTCTTTTGTTTAGATTTCAAAACTCACGAGGGATAAACGCAGCACATCATGAGTCTATTATGCTAATTTAATAAAAGTCAAACAGTATAATGGTAGCATTATCCTCCTTAGTCAATCAGGGATTTCTGTTTCTGTTTGTGTGCTTGGTTAAATTGAGTGTTTACTTCTTCACATTGAAATTCCTGAAAATATGACAAAAACAAGATCAAATTGAGATCAATTCATTGACTTAATTGAATGTCTGGTATAATGTTCTGTTAAATGATGCATAAACAGATTTGATTCCTTCTCAAGGGTGGAACAGATGTTTTTTTTTTGTCACAAAACCCCAAGAGGACATCTATCTCTCTTTCTTTTTTTAACTATCTTTATCTGGGATCAGGTTGTCGGAGCAACAATTCCAGCAGATATTTCCAGACTTCTTGGTCCTTAGCGGCCTCTCTCGACTTTTCCAGAGGGACCCCAGGCCAGACAGGGCTCCAGTGTGGATGACTGACAGCTTTGACTAGGCTCTCTTATTACCGAGACAGACTGGTGCAGTGTCTGTGACACTGCAGAGGCTGTCCTAGTCCGCCTTTCTGCTCAGTTATATCCCTAGTCATTAAATTGACACTCAGGCATCAAATTCCTTTCAAAAGTTTACGACTTACGACAAACATGTTGTTTGAAATCAATCTATTCCTGGCTGAGGACAGTCACCTCAAATATGGTAGTGATATTTCTGAATAATCTGCTATAAATCACTCCACTAACAGCTGGAAGCTTCTTTGTTTTTATAAGAATCATGCATTGTAAATGCGAAATCCTGTGCTGAACTAATGAGTCAGTTTTATACTCATGATCAAAGCGTTTTCATCTGTTGAAATTACATTCACCTTGAGAGAAAAGGACACTTCATCTGCTGTTCTGACTGTCATGTGACCTGCTCTGTGCTGCGTCGTCCTCAGAGCCCTTCAGCTACCCCGGAGGAGCTGCACACTCATAACACAAACTAGCACTTCATTTAATCCACAACTTTTCCTACAAGTTTGGTCTAAACCAAATTACAGCATGAATAATCAAAACATGGAGTGGTTAGCAAAACTTGCTAAAGACAGCCTGGCACCTCAGCGACCATCTCTGTGTAAGAACAACGTCAAGCGGAGAAAGAATTAAGGGATGTCCAGTCAGATATATCTTCAGAGCAGTCTTTCTCAAACTGTGGCGGCGTTCGAGATGTTCGTCTGTGCTGAATGCGATATGTCGGTGAACAATGCTGCGCCCTATGCTGACTAGCTGTATCTTAACACCTGAAATAAAATTATTTATGTTGGGCTATCTACTGGCTGAAACAAAATGTTTTGTTTCTGCCAAAGCAACTCAAGTCTTCTTTTCTTTTATTATGCTTCTAAATTACAAATAGCTCTAAAACTTTACTAGGACACACAACACTTGTAGTAAAGAACTTTTTTTAAATTTTCATGTGTTTTCCATTATTGAAAAGCTTAGTGTCCATACTTTCAGAATCTGTAAATAACTCAAAAGACCCCTGTTGATGTGTTCATGGTTTTATTGTGGCCAGTTGCATTTAAAAACAGCGCCACCCTTCACATTAGGAGATGTTTAGATACTTATATTTTCATTTCAGATTATGTATATTAACATATTGCGTTATTGGGAGGAGGGGGGTATTTCAAGTTGTTTGAGAAACACTGCAGTATTCAATCTACAAAGCTATCAGCATTTCAGGTAACACACTTTCAGGGCATTTGAGTAACTTTCCTAACGTGTTGGAATGAACGGTCGGAATGGCGCAGAGAAAGAGAGAGAGCCGATTCCTCGGATAAATTTAAAAACAAAATTTCACAGAGAACTCGACTACTAAAATATTCTTTTACAACAGCCCTAAAAATCACAATCAGAATACTGACCTAAGCCCTGTAATATGTGAACAGTGTAAATTCATTGCATATTCACAGTATTTAATTTTCATGTGGTAATGAATCTCATATTTCTTCTGAAAAAGGTTACAAAATTTCCACTGTAAGTTAAGATAACAAGCTAGCCTGGGTAGTTAGAGATCTAATAGCACTTATCTTAGCATATCAGCCAGATAAGCCAAGGGAAAACAATACTAAAGCAGTAGTTCAAGATTGTGTTGGTTCCTATAATTCTGGTTTGATGCTTCTTCTCTTGATCTAATGACAAATCTAGAGGCTTTTTTTTTTTTTTTTTTTTACTTCTGTCTAAAGTATGACAAAGCTGGCAGGGATAAAAGCTTTCTTTGACCAACTCTGTGTTTTCTTTTGTTGATATGCTTGTTGAGTCAAAAAATAGTTTTATTCCTGGGACAATTAAAGAACGGATTAGTAAAACTAGGAGAGAAGAAAAAAAAAGTATTGTATTCTTTTTTTCTTTTACAGCGTGGGAGGACAAGCCTACTGAAGCAACAAGTGCTGGGAACCACATAGAGCCCCTAACAAAGGCAGCTTTTCTAATCAGAAACCAGCAGTCTTCATTTCTGCCTTTTCATAAAAAATATTTTTTCATTAGAAACACTTTTAGACTACTTTATTAATTAGCAATCTTCTCCTTTTCGACTCCCCCATTCCTTGTCTAATTTTCTGGGCTTGAGAAAGAGCAGAGAACAAAGGGCCACAGATGAAATGAATTGTTATCCCGCCGCTAAACCCACAGAAACCTCTCTTGGCCATCAGATTTCCTCTACACCACTCTGCCTGCTGCCATTGTTCTTTGACACGGTGTAATATAAATGCCACTGGCAGCGCTGATTATCAGCAAGCCCCAAGAGTCCCGACTGCATTAGAGCTACATTTCATTTTCTAAACGCTAAATTTCTTTTAAAAGGAAAAAAAAAGAAAAAGGCCATTAAAGGTCTGTTCTGGGGGGAAACCACCTTCCCTTAACCCCCCAGATAATTCCTCATTTGTTTAATTACAAGTTCAAAAACACAAACCAAGCACCGCCGCCACCATCATCATCATCATCATCATCATCATCATCATCATCATCATCATCATCATCATCATCATCATCATCTCAGATTCTATTCATGTTTTGTTGAAGCATATGACTACATGCAGTTTGAAGTCAACATCACTTATTACAGTCCAGGCACCTTTATGCAGCATAACTTTGTAATTTGACATCCAACAGTATTTTACCCTCTGTAAATTCATACAGTCTTTAATAAGAGTAAAACTTTGATATGAGGCAGTGTTTGATGAATGTTGCATTTCATTACTTGAGAGGCCGATAAAAGGTTCTGCTCTATGAAAGCAGAACCTTTTCAGAAAGAGATTCTTTTCAGCTGAAATAGAAAACATGTTTGGATACCATGTTGCAAAAACACCGCTTTGCTCACCTGCTCCTGAAATGAAGGGGAGGGTTTGGTAAATTTGTGTTCTGTTCCTATTTACCAAGGGATAAGGGACAGTTTCCAGATAAATAACAGCTTTTTTAATGTTGTCATTGTTCTAAATGTATGTGTGAAGGTTATACATTGGTGTCATGCAAGCTCAATCTGAAAATTGCACAGATGAGACAATGAGCACCAATCCCACATTTCAAAGGACTCTACTTTGTTTTTGCAAAGTAATACAGCTTCACTCAAAGTCGAACTAAGACCTAAAAGAAAACAAAACCTAACCGGTATTCTTAAAGGGGCAGTATTATGCATTTTCCAAGCATCTTATAGCACAATCAAATAACAGTTAACTTCAGTTGTTATAAAATTATCTACATGTCAATTGTGGCTTAAAACGTTTTTGTTCATATTTTAATGCCTTGAAATTGGGTCTCCTGCTCTTTTTGAAACGCCACCTTCAGGAAGTCACCACTACATTGCATTTCACTGAGAAGTAGCTCCTATAATGAGCTGAGCAGGTGCACTATTCCTCCAGATGCTTGCTAATTGCTGCTGGCTAGTCTGAAGGAGCTGAGTAGGGGAGTTGCGGGGAATGTGTGCTCTATGAAACAGAAGCTCGGAAGCTGCAGCTATGAGGCGGGGCTCAGTCCACCAAGGCAGATTAAAGGATTTCTCAAACATGCATGAAAGAATCAAAGCAACATTCCAGGTATGTTTTAAATGAGTAACATTATAACATGATTTAAAGGTCAGAAAAAGTCAATTTTACATATTACTCCCAAATTGAATAAAACCCATTCAGTCGTTAAAAAAGTGCAGCATAAAACGAGTTAACAAGAAACTAGAACAGTAGGAGAAAGTACGCTTTCATCTAGCAGTCTAACTCCCCCAGAGGACTTTTCAAGAGAAGGAAAGCACAAGTGGTAATGCGTGGCAATAAAAAAAGAGGAAGAAGCAAAAGGCTGACATACTTCTTAGGTCTGTAGTCAGGGATGCTCCTGTCAAGGGAGATGCGGTCGCTGAGCTGAGCGTTGTAGCCGTACTCCTCGTACTTCCCCTCTGCGTCGTGGCTGTCCTCTCCCAGAGTGGCGGCGGCTCCCCCCTGGCCGAGGCCTCCGGGTCCCTCCACCAGCCCCATTGGCTTCGCCAGACCTTTACATGAACCAGAAGAACAATCATGAAGATACGGAAGGACAAGTCTCTGTGAAAACACTGAGAAATTAGCAAAAGGGGAGACAGGCGAAGTGAAAGGCCATGAGAACGAGCGGCTGACTGACATTTTGTATCAGTGAAAGGAGACTAGTGTATGGCAGCTCTGAGACCCATCAGGCCATTATTACACTGGCGGTAAAGGAAAAAAAATAACCCAGAGGATACTGCTGTCAGAATAATACACAGAGGCTTTCAGAAAAGGAACAGAAGGATGTTTCAGAAATAAAGAGCAAAAAGGAGAAAAAAATGGTCTTTAGATGGTCTTTAAGTCGTCATTAGCAGTTTGATAAAACTGACTCATTATTACCTGGTTGTATTTTTTGCTTAATATTTTCCCTGACCGTTTCCAACTAGGTTTTCCCTCTAACTTTGGTTTGAGTTTTCTCAGACGCATTTCGGTGTGTTCCCATGGTAACTCAACTTTATGTAGACTCTTGTTCTCAGTTTGTTTTTTTTTCCACTGTAATGATGTTTTATCTGACCTACATGCTCGCCCTTTCCTTACCAATCAGACAATCAGACCTTGGTGTCTTTTGGTAAACTATTCCAAAAATCAATGAATTATTGTTCGTCCATTTTTGAAGCACACACTAATTTCTCTTGGTCTATCACCTAAAACCCAAATGAAATAAATTAAAGGTTATGATTGTGATAAAATGTTTTTAAAAAAAAAGTCTGAAAGGGAATAGATTCTTTGTTGGGAATTTAGTTTAAACAAGATCAGCCAACGTGTTTTCTAAGGTAGCCTTTGATGCAACCTTCCTAAGGTTGCATCAAAACTTCATGTGGAGTGAGAGCGTGCAGATGTTTTTCTCTCTTTTTTTCTTTTGGCATTGAAATTTAACAAAATGAGAAAGAAACCCAACAGAAATCAGCTACATGAAAGCTCCCATCCCCACCGAGGCCATACCCACCCTCATCCCTTATTTCGGTTCGGACCCTAAACAGTTTGTCACTAAACCCCGCAGCATCTTCCGTCGACGCCAGGCCTCCGCCAGGCCTCCGCCATTGTTTAGCTATTTAAAATTCAGCGAAATGGCAGGATAATGTCAGATCATTGTTATGCGAGCCGAGTTTCCAGCTCAGCCTCCGCCGAGAGAAGTCGAGTCGCGTCTGTTTTCCGTATCAACAGATGGACACACAGACGACGACAAAAAAAGATAGTAAACAGCGCACAGCAATGAAGAGCTCATCTCTCAGCTCGGGGGCCCTCTAGGAGTCACGCAGTAATCACCGCGTTTGGATGGCCCCAAATCCTTGGGTGCTGCTGGAGATTTGTAATTGGAGCTGAATGGTTGCAAACCGGCTTCTCCCGTGAGAGGGATTAAGCGCGCCCTGGCGCCGGCCAACGGGTGGCATAGCGTCGCACAATAATTCAGATAGTCTGAGCGCGTGGGGCAAGGGGTGGGGGGCCATAGAGGCTCCGTGTGAGTCTTGGAAGCCGGACAGTCCCCAGCAGCTGTGTCGCCTACTTCATGTCTCTCCTCCGCTGTCGGCTGTCTGATTGAAGGAAATTTCATAATAGCATAAGACCTGCCTGTCTGATCCACTTCAACATGGACTGGAGGACAGAAAGAGGCAGGGGGCTTTAAGATTCACAAGCATTCTTATATTGTCAGAGTACACCTGACATGTAATCAGTGCTGCCAGATTCAGCAGGAGTGTATTTTCTTTTCTTTTTTTCTTTCTTTCTTCTATTCTTGCACGGTTCCATATTGACGCAGCTGCTGATAAAATGCTGCCTTTATGCAGCTTGGTCGGTTTGTTGAGGGAGTCAAATTGTACTGACTGGCTTTGATTTTCCTTTTATGTTTCTGCCTTTTAATGTTGGTTGAAATTGTTTGCGAAAAAAGAAAAAAAACAAAATCACTTGCAGAAATTCAGGTACCTCACTCACTTTGTGAAATTTTTCACCAAAGCTTGCGAACGTGAATGGAAGCTCTTTAATGCACATCTTGCGAGGCAGAATTTGGACGGAGTTTGCCTGCGGGGAAAGCACTGCACCAACAACAACAGCAACGCTTAGGATTAAGAGCTCCTCTCCTTCCATGACTACATGAGTTAAAAATGCATGCACCCATAATGCTTTGAGGCACAAACATCAACATCTCCGAAAAAGGAAAACAGAACTGAGGAGCCCCCACAAACATTATTTTATTGTTAGAAGCACTATACATCAGAGAGTACATCATAAGTACTCCACTTAGCATGCCAACATTTTCTCTTAAAATGTATTGACATGAAATTCACACCATACCAGCTGCAGTATGTAACTGGCTTAAAGAATATTTCTTTAAATATTTGTTGAAACTCACTATATGTCATGTTGTATGAAACAGATAATCTGAAAAAAATGAGACAAACTAAATCAAGCTCCTCTACCTTCTTCTTTATGAACTAGAAACAGCCAATCAGAGTCGAAAGGCGGGTCTTAGCTCTCAATCATCCTCCATCTTCATCCTGCTAGCAGAGCCTGTTGTGAATGCTTCAACTGTTAGCACAGCTGCTGATTACAGTGGAGAAGCAGTTTTCCTGCAACAGTAATTTGTTTCTCTGACATTAGCACATTTAGCAGAAACTACATGTGCTTGATTGAAAGCACCGAGACCAGCCTCTTTGCTCTGATTGGTTGTTTTTGGTCGAGAGTGGTGCATTTCGTCAGATGACAATAGTAGCTCAGGAAGGAGGAGGTGGAGATCAGTCTTTTCACAAATTATCTGTCTCAATAGCAAACTGTCACAACATGGTGACATTTTAACAAATATGTAAAAAACATCTACTTTTTTTATAAAAGTTACATAACTTATCTTTGATCTATTCATACACAAAGACAACAACACAAATGAGCCCAAAAAATAAAGTTGTGTCTAACAAACTGAAATAAGAGTATTGAACACATTTTCTAGTTTCTGCTCTGAATCTCAACTTGAATCTAGGTTTGTTCACAACTTTAAACAACTCTTTAGCCACTGACTACTTCTTTAATGAACAGAGGAGCAACATGGGGTGGCTGAGTTGGTCATTCTGCTGCTTCTCCATGTTCTGCTGCTTCTCCATGTTCTGCTGCTTCTCCATGTTCGCCGTCTGTAAGTTTCTAATAGTTTAACAGAAAACACCAGCTTTAGTCATCAGGCGTGTTCACTACTTCACAGCTGTAGAGCCAGGAGTCGAACTTAAAGTGTCACTCTTCAAGATGTTTTGCCGTGGTGTGTGAAAATACTTGTGTGCTTTATGGTCAATGCGCTCTTTTTCTTCAGCAGTGGAGTCTTGAGCATCGAACACTCACAGGGGAGCACATATTCACAGCTTCGTCATTTTGAGTTTATGTTCTGTGTCAGGATTGTGATCTTGTTGGATGTTCTGGTGATCACCAAACACTTAGAAATTCATCTGTAGCTGACGCCATCAGTGTTTTGCATCATTAGGCTTTATAACATAAATTCATTTATTGACTGCTTTGTTTTGATTTCTTTGAACGTGTGAAGCCCTGATGTGTAAAACATATAGAAGACACTCCGGCTCCATTTAGATGGCACATGAAAATGCCAATAAAAATTTCAAGTATCCGTACATTTCTTTTTTTTTACATTCAGTATTTCCAGTTTTATTAACACGCCGCACAGCTCTGACTCTTTTATCATTTCACTGTGAAGCAATTACAAGCCAACATCTGTTTGTTCCGCTGACGCTCCGTTCCCAGCTAAAGAATTAGCTGGGTGCAGATACTTTGTAAGCTGGGCACTAATTTAAATCTCGTTGTGTCCATGTACGCATCTGTCCCCGCGCTCGCCTCACTCGCAATCCATCATATGACTGAGTGAACCTCCACCGGCTTCGACTTGAAGAGGAAACTTCCAGAAAGCGTTTGATTTGCCTGCATGAAAAACAAGTCTCGTTTTCAAAGATGACCCATTTTTTTAGTGAAATATTTAAGAGGAAGAGTGGTTTTTATGTATGTCCAAAGTGATGCAGCTGAGCGCTAAATATTGATGCTGAGGGGACGAGGGGTACGGATCCTCGTGATTTTTTGAAGAGGAGGTGGAGGGGGAAAAAGTATCTTGCTGGTTTAAAAGGATTAAAAAACCAAAACAAACCTATGAAATATTAAGAGCCCACAGAAGGCCTTCAGGAAGTCTAGCTTTTCCACTTATAACAGCTGCAGGAAGATCAAGTGGACAACTAGCATGATTTGAAAGCTGAAAGTAAACCTTTAAGTTTTCAACATACAAAGCCCAAGACAAAGGGGTGACAAGGAAGGTTCACGCATCTGAATCTCATTTATAATAAATTTGCCATCTTTTTATTTTTATTTTTTTTATAAAAGGGTAAATAAAATTTTTGGCAAATGCCAAACAGAAAACAAAGCTACAATTAAACATTTCCTTTCAATCAGTATCCATTCTAACATAATGTGTGTGATAGGTTCACTGAGATATTTTAGCAAAATGATCTACATTGCTTGGTTTGGCATGATGTTTTAACTCGATGAAGCTGAGGCTCCCTTTGTAGCCACATTTGTATTTCTTTCACTCTTCTACCCTTCTGAAAATGTCTCAAACCTTTAACTGGAAGCAAGTTTGCAATCCATGTCAATCCCAGTCTGACTGATCATCATCTTTCAAAAACTTTTCACGTGAACCCTGCAGCCTCAGCAAGCTGTGGTCAGACGTTTGTGTAATAAAACTAGCAGCACCATCATCTGCTGGTGTTGGATCAGACAAGCAAGTGTTTTTTTTTTTTTTTCTAAAAATACTTATGTCCCGCACGCAAATACAGTTTCGCTTTCACTATTAACTTCCTTTCTTTTTTGGTTTGAGTTACTGTATGACTATTCTGAATGTTACAGTCCCTTGCAACCCATTCATAACCTGTGGAGGTCTCCATATTCCACCACATCACAACTACAAATGTATTAGGTTTGGATTTTATGAGCCAGAGCA